TCAGATAAAGCAATACCTGTCCTCAAACTGATCTCTGGGGCACTTTACTATTAGCCTCTCTGTATGCTAAATATCAACCATTTATCTCTACTCTTTGCTTCCTGTCTCTGAAACCTTTTATAATCCATGGTAGCGCTTTACCTCTCAATCCCAGAAATTACAAAATTGCTTCAATAGTCTCTTGCACATGCCTTTTGAAAGCCTAAATATCCTCTGGCTCTTTATCCATTATTTTGTTAACTCTTTCAAATAGTTACATGTTAAATAAGCTAGTTGTTTCCTTATATAACTCATGATTGTTTGCTATTCTTTGATACCAAGCTTGGTGCTCTATAGTTCTATCCTTATGGATTTTCTGATCTATTTTCTGGTACCAGAATAAAGTGAACTCCTCTACATTTCTTTGGTACACTATAGAGATGGGTGCAATGTTTGTGACCTTTCTGTCTGCCAGTACATTAGCTGTGCGAAGAAGTGGTATGTCTTGTAATGATGAATGCCATATTGTTTGTAATTCAAGATGCTTCATGTGTCAGTTTCATCAGAAGTTTCAGATGAATTCCAGCCACACCTGGGTATTTATTTGAAAGTTAAGTTGTTTCATCATTTCTTGTTTCAATCTGTTCTCTAAAAAAGCCTCACTTCACTACTAATAAACAAGGGCTCTGTGACAGGTCTTTTTCCAGTCTTCTTCTATAGTGAGGAATAATGGAAAGCAATTACTTAGTCCTTCTCTGCACTCTCCTTATCCTCTTTGATTTTCCCTTTTATATCCTGGGAGTCTGATAAGCCCATTTTGATGAATGTAAAGAAGAAATTTTGTTTATATAACTTTGGGGTTTTTTCCCTTCAAATTTCCTCTTTACCCTCTTAGTCTGCACCATACCTCTTTCCTTGCTAGCCAGGGCAGTTGTCCCATTCTATTAGCATCTGCTGGATTTCCATTAGAAAGCCTGTTTTATGGGCAGAGGGGAAAAAACACCACCATCACCGCTACCACCATAGTTTAACCAAGCTATTAGTTTAGCTCCGGCTAGTTTTGCTGTATTACCTGCATGCACCCTGGGACTCCAATCAGGGGCATAATATTTGTGACTCGGTCAAATTCAAATCCCAATCCCCAATGTATATGTTTTAGGGTATTTCTTACTCCACTTCACACTTCCTGCTCCTCCAAAGAACCCTAGCCCCTTTCTTGCCTCGTGTGTCTGCCCCCTTCCTTCCACTGTCTATACACACATATATCTTTCCACTGACAGCTGCCCCTAGCACTTCCAGATTTCATGCTGGGTCCCAAATACCATGAAAAAAGCCTTAATTGTGGCACTTTGACCCCTCCATTTCTGCTACTGGCTTGGACCTGAAAATGTCAAGAAGTTCAAAATGCAATGAAAACAAAAGTTAACAGGACTTATTCAAAGAGTAACAAAAGGTTCAGTTAGGGTTTGGGGTGATGGTTCATGTCAGTTCTTATTTTCTCCAGCTCATTTCACACATTCCTAATGAAAAGCATGTGAAAGGTAACTATATTGAATATATTTTTAAGTTTTTCCAGTGCGACAGCCCCTCTTTAAATTGCACAAATGATACTGCCTCCCTGTCATATTGGATGTTAACATGGATTTGAAGTGTGCTGAATTTAGACTGCAGCCAAATATTTGGTCACACAGGAAGCTTTTTATGTAATATAAATACTAAGAGAAAGGAATCTCCATTCTTTAAAGAAGCAAATATTATGAAAGTAGAAGAAATGGCAGAAGAGAAAATCATCCCCATGGAAAAAGAGATCTTTGGGACCTCTCTCTTTGGCAATCAGAGAAAGAAAACAATCTTACCTCCTCCAGGATTTCTGGAGGTTGAGAAGTGTGCATAATTAAGGGTTTAAAACGCAGACTTCTGTTTATGCTAAAATCCTGAGGATATCAGAGAAATAATGCTATACAGTTCTGATGGCACTGGGCAGAATTGGTTATGTCACAAAAATATATAATTGATACAAAAAGGCCTGGTGGACTTTATTTACTGTTTCATAGTCTCAAATCATAACTCGGGATAACAATATCATAAACAGCAGAGAGAGACTGACCTTGTCAAAAGGCTTCCCACCAATTGTAACTCAGTAATGGGAAGTTTCTCTGGGCAAAATAGAGATCCAGGGCAGCTTGCGTAATAGAGGCCATAGTTGCATGATTCTCCAGGCATTGCCTTGTAATGGAAATGGAATGCCTGTGGAAGTTAATGTTTCCCCAAGCAGCCCTGGGACAAATAAGAGTATGCTAGTATAGATATTGGCTCTGTTCCTCTTCTGAAGACTGGAAGCTCAAGACAGCTGTCTGCAGATCAGCTCTGAAGCAACAAATACATACAGATGTGAAAACTAGAAGAAAACAAGACTGACATATCTTGTGTCTCAGAGTCCATCTTTTATGAGTCCCATCTCTCCATTAGCACTAAGCCTGTTTTTTGCCTTATTGCTCTACACACTTTGACTAAATTCTGTATTGGGGGATACCAGATTATTTCATAGCAGTTCCTTCTGGCCTCTTGTGTAATTGCACATATATGCAGCAGAATTGCATCTTTATATTGCAAAGCAGGTGCATTATTTATTATGGAGCTTTGGCTTAAAATACACAAGTAGGCTGTTATGTAGAACAGTGGATGTGGTTATAAAAGATGCATATTGCCCTGAACCAGAAATCCTGTCAGATCTATCATAGATATGGAAGTATGGTCCTATAATGGACACTCCTGCTAACATGAAATTGGAACAGTCAGGAAAGATACAACCATATTCACAGGTAGGACAGAGACTGATATGAACAGGTTTGTAACTAACACCAATGGCTGGGGGTAGAGGATTATTCAATACACGCATAGATGGCTGTACGTATTTTCAGAAACAGATTTTTGTGTTTCCAGCCATATGGGATATCTCATGGGATAACTTCATCCTTGATTCCTTCCCCATTCACATCAAACTCTCTCTGCCCACTTGGAATGTAGGCAGATGTGCATGAAATGTCAGACATACTAATATTTTGAGGGGTTGCTTTGGTGTGGTGTCATACCTCAGAGATGCCGTTTTAGGAACTGGTGTTTTCTGGACTGTTTTAAATAATAATAATAATAATTAATAATAAGATGTGTCACTCTCTGGCTTACTTCACGATGCTGGCACAGGATCAAATAGCGTTCATGTCCTTCCTATCTGAATAGCCCATGCTGTATTTGGGACTATAAAAATACTTTGTACTAATACAGCAATAGTCATCCTAGCCTCTCAAAGCATGTTACATGAATGAATTATTTTAGCCTATTGAGCATATACATTTGTTATTTTGCTGCCTTATTGTAGTTGTTTGGTGTGATGGGATATACTGTTTGTTTGGGGCTGATTTTCTGGCCTGAAATAATGTGCTAAAAGGTAGGGGTATATGGGCAGATGAGAGGTAGCGGGAGTTTCCTTTCTGGTTGCTTGGGTTCTTTTCACTGGAGGGCCACTCACCAACATTTAGTTTCTTGTCCTGTTTGAATAGCCATCAAGGAGTTATAATAATAAATGGAGATATCCTATCTCCTAGAACTGGAAAGGACCCCGAAAGGTCATTGAGTCCAGCCCCCTGCCTTCACTAGCAGGACCAAGTACTGATTTTGTCTCAGATCCCTAAGTGGCCCCCACAAGGAGTGAACTCACAACGGTGGGTTTAGCAAGCTAATGCTCAAACCACTGAGCTATCCCTTCCATTCAATGTACTGTGATCATTGAGAGCCAAGCATGCTAAAGTGAAATGGGTTTAATTTCCTAGCCCAGACTCCAGTAGGCAGCAGCTGATATAAAACAACTGAGAGAGTCTTGAATTCTAGGTCAATTCAAGACTGAACTTACATGGAGATAGAAAAGAACCACTGGGAACTGCTTATGGTCAGAAATGAGGCCATTAGTTGAGGGTGCTTGAGGATCTAATCTTGTAAACAAATATATGTAGAATGTCAGCTTCCTGCCTTGCCAACTCTTTTTACTTGATGAGAAAAGACAAATCACCCAAACTTAAAAAAATTAAGTCTTGGAAGCCTGCATCTATGATTACTCATTTATTTGCATTAGATTCTCCAGCCCATCTGTTCCACTGTGCTTTGTATGTTCACTAGAGACTTAAAAAACATATTACTTAAATACATTAGGAAATCAATTATTACTTTAACCAAGCAAAGTGATGAATTTTTTTTATTAAAATCCCCATCCAGAGACATTTCTTACATCTTATGTTAAGTAAAGTGATTTACATTCATCATGCGCACTGCACTCAGGCATTGGTTTGAATCCAATTAAGGCTGACATTTGAGGACAGCTGTATAGGTGTGTACTAAAATAAGTCAATATTGGTCACAAATAAAACTAGTGGGAGAATCTGGTGACTCTTCTCTTCCATGCTAAGGGAGAAAATTGGTCTCTAAAAATTTTATCCTGCCTTTTGTTGCAGATTAGGGCAACTCTTTTCAAAGGGTTTTCTTTTTGCTTTTGGTGAGCTGCCATTTTGGTGGCTGTGACTGCTAGAACATACCATAGTGCTTACAATGTATCTGCCCCGGTGTGTAACTGTGTAGAAGTGGAAGAATTAATATGCTGTCACTAATCCTAGGAAAACCATATCAAGTAATATAATTGAAGGTGATGTCTTTGGTTCATTATTAATAGTTATAATTATTTAAAAGACCAATATGAGGCCTGAAGTTAGCCATGTCACACACACAAGAAGCCTTGGACCCAGCCTACTGCACCACTCTGGCTTATTGAAACAATGGGACTGCTCTAAGGTGGGTATGAAGTAAATGAGGAACTGTTGTTATGCAGTGTCTGAAGATGTTAGAGGTCTAAAATGTTGTTATGAACTAACGAAATGTCAGCACTGGTCAATGAAAGGCTCAGCAAGACTTTGAGACCCATTTAAGCCCTAGATCAACTATATAATTTATTTTTATTTGTGGTGCATTTGCAGGCAAAGAAAGGCAACTATGCTTTTTTGTGGGATGTAACAGTGGTGGAATATGCAGCCCTGACAGATGATGAGTGTTCTGTGACGGTCATTGGAAACAGCATCAGTAGTAAAGGATATGGGATAGCACTCCAGCATGGCAGTCCCTACAGGGATCTCTTCTCCCAAAGGTAAGGCAAAACCATGCTTATTTCATAGGATTCCTCTCTGCAACAAAGAAGCTCATGTTCACAGCTGCTTAACTTTGGCAATGTGTGTTTATTAAATGAATCTCTATCTTTTGAAATCAGTTGTTTGAATTCTCTTCCTTTTATAGTAGCATAGGGCAGAGGGGTGGGGAGCAACCTCAACAGAGCAGCTACTTCCTCTCCTGTGCATGTGGTCAGGGGGAAGATAGGAGGGAGCTGGAAATGGGTGGAACATTGGCTGTGCTCCCAACATCCTGGGCAGCCCATGCTGTGCCAGATATATTCCCCAGAGCAGTGGGTAAACTGGGAAGGAGATTGTAACTCTCTGAGTCACAATCTATTTCCCAGGCTGCTTTGGGGGCAGTGAAACTCAGGGCTTGTGTCAAAGCCACAATTTAGTCTTTAGACGGGGAGGAGCATTGATCCATATGAGAAAAGCAATGTTGTCTATTATATATCATTATATAATGGGCAAATAATAGTTATTGAGTGATTGCATGGGTTCAGGAAGATAGTGACTCTACTGTGTCTATCACAATTCAGTGATCCCAGTCTATCAGTATCTTTTAAAACTATACATATATACTTTCTCCTTATGCTAAAACAAACGTGTGCATGGTGGTGTAGATACATGCGGCCTTAGTAGAAAGTGGCTGAGCACACAGCTACATGCAGAAAGCCAAGACAAACTTTCTGTCTGTGTGGATTATTCTTAAAGAAGCCTTTTATATTCAGTCGGCCTGAATTCTTGTGATAACCAGAGACAAAGCTGCCTTGAAAGGAAAACTTGTTATTAAATAGCAAAGGCAGTTGTCAAACCAGACCCCAAATGAATCATTCATGGAGAGAAGGGACACTTCACAAATGGGAAACAATGATTAATTAGTAATTGTTAACATACTAGTTCAAGCGTAAAGTAACAGCATTGTAGTAAAATATTTTTGAATGAACTGCATTTGCTCAAAGCAGAAATAAGCAACTCTATTGCTGCTTAAACCATTTTGTATTAAGTACTGTGCAAATGGTTACATGCTTGTTTCAAATATAATTTGAAATTATTATGATGGATCATATATGGGTGGGAAGGTTGAGTCTTTCATGAGCTGTTTCTTCTTGAATAACCATTATAATCTACTGGAAATCTGAGCAAAGTCAAAATTTTAGGTAAAGCCCTAGCTAAAGCTTTGCTTATTAAGAGCAGTTTTTGAAAGTCACACTTATTTCTAAAGCTGATCTGTGAAATCTTGTGGCTGCTCTGGACTGGAATATACTGAATGAAGTTTGGTATAAAAGAGTAGCTAGTTTCACCCTTTCCCAGGTAGATGCTTTTTGGATGAAACTACATTTGACTAGGAGATATTTATCAAACTTATTACTTACTGAAAGTTATGCTTGTGAAAGTGGCACTCTCACAACCACTTCAATGCTTGAGGAAAATGTATATGAATATTTGATATGCAGGAAATATACCTCACTGGTTTATTATAGACAGAGAGCGAGAAAGTCCTGCAACTGTAGCATTATACCAGTCCTGTTGGAGATGTTCTGCCCTAAATACAGAATTCCACTGACTAACGCTGAATCCCTGTAGAAAGATCATTCCTGCAGCCCAATTGTAATATAAGGATTCCAGGGCTGCAGAGTTGTTGATAAATGCATACACAATATACAGAAATCAACTGAAATAATGGCTGTGTTTTAAAATTTCTGCAGGATCTTAGAATTACAAGACACTGGAGACTTGGATGTACTCAAACAGAAATGGTGGCCACGGATGGGACGTTGTGACCTGAACAGCCACACCAATGCACAGACAGATGGCAAGGCACTGAAGCTTCACAGTTTTGCAGGCGTCTTCTGCATTTTAGCAGTAGGCCTTCTTCTTGCGTGTTTGGTGGCAGCGCTGGAGTTGTGGTGGAACAGCAACCGTTGTCATCAAGAAACTCCAAAAGAGGTCCATAACTTTTATTCTTATCACAATTAAGAGTAGAAAACACAAAATACAGAGAGCAAATGGAAGCTGTGGGATTTTAGGTGCTCTCGTACAAATACACTCACTTTATTTTGATTGGAGATATTAAATTATTTCATGAAGTTTATGATTTTTTTTAAATGTGACTTTCATGGAAGGTGCCAAATTGACAGCCCTGGAGACTAAAGTCCTCTATTTATTTATAGAGCAGTTACAGCATGGGCAGCAGCAGTGCAAACTTCCCTACGTTGTCCCACCAATGTGCCTCAACCCTGACCTGGAGAGACCAGCTTTAGGGGTAAGAGAGTAGCTGAGACACCATGCCCTTAGCCTCTCTGCTAAGACTGACAGCAAGGATACCAATTGGCACCAACAGATGTTTTTGTGATTTGGACCCTTGTCTAGTGGGCTGTGACCACCAGCTCATTCTACATAACTGCCACCAGATGGCAACAATTTTTGGTTACAACCAATCTAGATCAAATTTGAACAGGTGACGTAGTGATTAAAAATTAATTATCCCATTATTAATACAGTACACCAGCCAGCCACCAACACTGTTTAACAACTTTCTTTTCGGAACCTTTAAAAAAAAAATAATGACTTTTCTGAGCAAATGCCTTTCATATAAAATATTTTACCTAGAAAAATCCATTTGGAATGACTTGTTTGCAAACACTTTCTTGCAACAGTACAAAGTAATTAATAGTAACATTATGGTAGACTAAGCAGTCCATACGCAGAGCTATCTTGCATGAAGCCTGTATCTATTTGCATCAATTAAAAAGTTTAACAAGCTAACCTCTGGGAATTTTTTAAACATTGAGAGACTTGCAGATTCTTACATTTTGAACAGATATTTGTTACAAGCAACTAATAGGAGCAAGCAGCATCACTGCTAGAAAAGAATACAAAGCCCATCAATTCCAATCTTAATTTCTAGGAGTATTACAATAATTGACATGCCTACAACATATAAACAATTGTGGCATATGGAATCTGAAAATAAATGTTGCAGTCTGTAATGTTATCAAATATTTGTCAATAAGCTTCCATTCTCTGTGTTTCCTCTTCACTCATTTTAATTCATCCACAAAGTGTTCAGTAATAAACATCCATATCATGCTTGTGGGACAAACCTGTGAAGTCACTTGCACACAACTCCACGATGTATATTGCTGAAAGGGAGCCTTTTGATCATGGAAATTTTGTATCCATTTTGCTTAGCACAGTATAGCATTTGGAGAGCATGCACAGTGAGGACAAATAGCTTTGCCTATAAAGACAGATGCCTTTATATGTTTGATGCACAGCTTTAGTCTTTCCCTTAGTACACTGTAGACCTCATCCCCACTAGAACTATGGAAGCCTACTCCACAATAACATTGCTAATTAAGGCGCATACCCTGTAAGGAGCTCCAGGTAGGGGGACCTCCTCACCTTTGCGGAATATCTTGCAGGATCATGGACAAAGGTGGTAACTATTCAAAGTCCACTAATATTAGCCATATTTGGGTGTGACATACTCTGGGTGTATTCGCCTCTCAATGTTCAGGGAGTCCAATGCATAAAGCTTTGTAGACTTAAATGAGCATATACCCAAAAATCAGAAATAAAAACAGAAAAGGTAAAGTCAGTGTTAGATAAGGTCAGTCACTGATTTAATTCAAGATACCCCAAGCTCTATTTTATTTCTATTTCCCATTCCTGTCTCTCTGATCTTTAATGTTCTGCTTCCTTTGCTCCTGCTTCCCTTTATTTTCTTTTTCTTTTTCTGTGTCTTTAACTGGAATTCTTACAGCTTTCATCATTCCCCTATCTGACTTTTCTGAATCAGAAATATAGTGTTTTAGGCTTTTACTGTTCTAAATTATGGCTGCCCTTAACTTTCTCTCTTGGAATGCTCAGGGTCTTAACATCCCACATACAAATCTCTAAAATACTTCAGCAGACTCAGAGAACAGATGGATGTATGGTACAGCTTTACTCCAGGAAGATCACTCATCTGTGGGAATAAGCAGATGTGTGGGAGTAAGTGGTTTCAAGTCTGAGCCAAAAGCACTTCCAGGGAAGGGGTAAACAAGACAAATTAAACTAAGACAAGACACAGGAGAACAGATCAAGAAAGTGAGAGTGTGCGTGGAGAGACTGGGAAAGAGAACAAGGAGGGTGGAGTCCTGCAAGAAGTTGGTTTTAATTTTAGTAGAGAGAGGGTGCTGCATGGACAAAATGTGGAAGACTTTTCCAGATGTAGGTTGCAGAATGGATGAAGGGACAAAGTTGAGAATGGGAGAAGGAGATGAAGGAATCAGTAATGAAAGGTCTTGGAGAAGTATAAGGAGCAGGAATGAGGTAGAAGGAAATGAAAATTGTGATTATGTAAGGCCCTGAAGAAGAGGACAAGGAGCTTGAATTTAATGAAGTAAAATGCAGGAAGCAAGTAAAGTGGTTCAAGGAGATGGCATAAAAATGTCAGATCAACCCGACACGAAGGTAACTTTAGCAAGCACTCAGATACCATACTTCTCATTATTGTATAAATTCCCAGATGGATTAGATAGAAGGAGCATTTTGGATGCACTAGAAGATGAAGTGAGAAATGGGATTGATGAAGAGGCGTAGGTTCCTGTGGTCAAGGTGAAAAATGTCCCCCAAGGATGCAAGTGCAAGTAGTTGGGATAGTGAAAAGAGAATATTCTGATAATGTTAAATAGAAAGATATTTCAGAGTTATGAAGGGACAGAATATGGGGGAGGAGGAGAAAGAGGTGTCAGATATGACACCAGGGTTGCAGATGTGGGAAACAGGAAGGATAATGGAGTTGTTAGTGTTGTTGATTTCAGAAAGACTAAGTTTGAGGCTATCAATGCAGGTATCTACATATTATCATCAGCATTTCTATGGTGCCAATCACTATAAAGTATAAATACTGCGCATGGATTACAGAAAACAGTGAAATCTGTCCCACTGGGGCAGTCAATATACTATCCAACTCTGTAGTTTAATTAACAGCTTCTAACTTTGAGCACACTGTTGGATTTTTCTTCTCTTCTGCTTTTTGGAAGGCTTTGGCAAAGATGTGACAATGTAAGCTGAAAATGGTGAGAGTTGGATTTTTCTCGATCACCTTTGGAAGAGTGTTCCAGAATCTTGTATGAGCATAAGTTCATACAAATGGTCATACTGGGTCAGAGTAATGGTCCAACTAGCCCAGTATCCTGTCTTCTGACAGTGCCCAATGCCAGAGGCTTCAAAGAGAATGAGAACAGAACAATTATGAAGTGATCCATCCCCTGTCATCCGGTCCCAGCATCTGGCAGTCAGAGGCCTAGGCACATGGCCACTGATGGACTTATCCTCCATAAACGTATCTAATTATTTTTTGAATTCTGTATTAGTTTTAGCCTTTACAACATACCCTGGCTACGAATTCCACAGGTTGACTATGCTATGTGTGAAGAAGTACTTCCTTTTAAATCAGTAAAATAAAGAGTGAAAAATCCAAACTAATGACCACTTTGGACTTTCAGCTAGACTATTCTCTATCCCTTTTGAAAAACAGAGCAGCTGAAGGGGGTAAGTCTCTGGTTCCCTGAAGATTAAACTTGGCCCTGCTAGTCACAGGGTACTGAGCAATGAGTTTCCCTGGCTTGTCAAACAAAAGAGGCAATCCTTCGGATAGTATGACCGTATCTCATTAATGGGTTTTGTAAATCAGTTCTAGACACTTGAAGTGAATCCAGGATTAAATCAGTTCATGCTGAAGAGCACTGGCATAACATGAATGGTATGATCCACTCAGTAGGCTGAACTCTACACCAACTCCTGCTTCTTTGTGAACTTCTTATCTTGGCCCAGGAAGAGGGAAATATTCTAAAGGTGATAAGTGCAGAAACCACCTTGGCTAATTCACCTGAGGAATGGATGGAGTCTTCTTGCTACCTGGAGAAGGGAGAGACCACTTTTAGTAATTTGTTGCAGTTTGTGCTTCCAGAGTCAGTACTGAATCCAGCATGACCCAAAGGCTGTGTGTTATCTTGACTTCACCTGAGGATGAAGTACTGATATTTGCCAGTTCCTCAAAGCATTTTTCTCTTCCACTTAGAATCACATTGGTGTTTCCTGGGTTCAGGTGAGCCTATTGTTTTTCATGTACATTGGAGCAATCAAGTACTCAGATATTTAAATGACATAAATTATTATAGAGAGAAGGTGGGTAAAATAATATCTTTTAGTGGACCAACTTCTGCTGGTGAGAGGGACAAGCTTTTGAGCTTTCACAGAGCTCTTCTTCAGGTCATCTTGTCTCTCTAATATCTGGGAACCAACATAGCTACAACACAGTATAAGTAAATAATTAATGTACTGGTAACCACAAACTGTTTTTTGGAAAGGAAGATTTGCCTATGATGATATTAGAAAAAAATTATATCTGCACCATAATGCCAGAATCTTCCACTAGGATGCACATTTATAGTCTATTAATTCTCAAAAGAAAAAGACATTCAGAAACATTTAAATGGCCTTGATTACTTCTAACTTTGGGGAAATTATATTTGATCTTTCTTCAGTGAGTAGATTTTCTAGAATTTATAGACAATCTCTTCTAACTTTGACTAGATTTTCTGCAATGTATTGTTCCAATGATTTTTAGTGGCCAGTCCTCTTACCCTGGTCATGAATACTAGAGTACCTCCACAAATCTCTGGATGCATCACAACTGGGCCCATTAAACAGAAGTGTGTATTTTGCACCAGTGATATTAAGCTGTTTCTTACTGATCCACAATAGTTTATATGTAATATTTTGGACACTAATATTGCCTTTAGAAGCCTTTTAGTCAGTAAAATGAATGAAAAATCCAAACTAATGACCATTTTGGACTTTTAATTAGATTATTCTCTGTCCCTTTTGAATAACTAAGCAAGTAATGTATTGGTCCCTGACCTCTAAAGTGCGTCTGTCAGTGTGGTCTACATTAC